GGAGAAGGAGGGAAAGAGGGAAAGAGGGAAGAGGGAAGAGGGAAAGAGGGGGAGAAGAGAGAGAGAGAGAGAGGAGAGAGAGAGAGAGAGAGAGAGAGAGAGAGAGAGAGAGAGAGAGAGAGAGAGAAGAGAGGATTAAAAGAGAGACAGAGAAGAGAAAAAGACAGACAGACAGAGAAAAAGAGACAGACAGAGAGAGAAACAGATTAAGAAAGAGAGAGAGAGAGAAAGACAAGCGGCAGGAAGAAAGAAAAACCAGGAAGCCCCACGAAAGGAAGACACAAGGGAGGGACCCACAAAACCCCACCGCGACGACCCAGAGAGAAACCACCGCGAGGAAAGCCGAGTCACAGGGTACGAGAACCCGGAGTAAAAGTGAATTGGAAGAGGTGCGTTGGCGGCGCCCGCCCTCGGGGGACGCGAGACGGCGCCCGCTGTGGCACGCTCTCCTTCTCTCCTTCTCTTCTCCTCCTCTTCTCCTTCTCCTTCTCCTTCTCCTTTCTTCCTTCTCCTTCTCCTTCTTCCTTCTCCTTCTCCTTCTCCTTCTTCTCCTTCTCCTCTCTTCTTCTTCTTCTTTCCTTCTCTTTCCTTCCTTCTTCTTCTTCTTTCCTTCCTCCTTCCTTCCTCTCCTTCTCTCTCCTCCTCCTCCTCCTCCTCCTCCTCCTCCTCCTCTCCTGGTGCCGTGTGCAGCGCCGTCCGTCAGGAGGAGACAGGAGGGTCAGCGGGGAGGAAGGAAGGAAGGAAGGAAGGAGAGGGGGAGGAGGGGGAGGGAGGAGGGGAGGGGAGGGGAAGGGAAGGGAAGGGAAGGGAAGGGAAGGGAAGGGAAGGGAAGGGAAGGGAAGGGAAAGGAAGGGAAAAGGAAGGGAAGGGGAGGGGAAAGAAGAGAAGTAAGAGACGGGCTCGGGGAGAAGGAGAAGAGGAGAAGGAAGAGAAGAGAGAAACGAAAGGAAAGGGGAAAGAAGAAAAGTAAGGGAAGAGATAGGAGAGAAGAGACGGACCGAAGAGGAGGAGGAGGGGAGGTCGGGCGGTGGCCATGGTCAGCCAATCAAGGAAATGACTCGAAACGGCGCATTACCATCTTCCTTATCGGAGATCCGGGCGAGGATAATTAACGCGGCAGATTAAGGTTCCACGCACCAACGGCGTGGCGACGAAACATGCCGCGTGGAACAAACAGTCGACGCCTGAAGACTCCTCACCGTAACGCTTCCCACTTCCTCCGTAACAGGAGCGACCATCTTGGAATGAAGAGGGAAGGAAGGAAGGAAGGAAGGAGGAGACGGAAGACAGAACAAGAGAGACATAGAGAGAGACAGAGAGACAAGAGAGAGAGACAGAGAGTAGACAGAGAGACAGACAGTAGACAGAGATGAGCAGAGAGATAGACAGACAGAGAGGACAGACAGATGACACCAGACAGAGACCTTAGGACAGAAGGCAGGGACAGCAGACAGGCAGCAGAAAGAAGACAGGACAGAGACAGACAGTAGACAGATAACAGACAGACAGAGAAAGAGAGAAAAGAAGAGTAATTATTCCAAAATCATCATCATCATAAATAAACTACACGCACACCAGCGTACGAGAGACCGAGGTTCACCCACCCGAGGACCAACAACATTTATTACTGATAAGGCTGATAACATTCCTCGTGTTTAGAACCTATTTGAACCCACCGTCTTCGAGATCATACCCCACGAGACACGACTCACTCTGCTCATGACCCAACACGGCGTCCATCTACAACCTAAAGAGGATTTGATCTTCCTAAAGACTATTCGATCCTAAAGAGGACTAAAGTTCGATCTTCCTAAGAGATTTGATTTCCTAAAATATCGATCTTTCTAAAGAGGATTTGATCTTCCTAAAGAGTATTCGATCTCTCTAAAGAGGATTCGGTCTTGCCTAGCCGTGTCGAATCTACTCCGTGGAGGAATCTATTGCCACCACGCAAGGTGTACTCAAGTAGGTCCGTGTCAGTCACAAGCAAAGCACTGTCAAGGAAAATCTGAATGGAAGAACACAACACTGTAATAATAATTAATAAATAATAATAATATAATAATAATAATAATGAATAATAATAATAATAATAATAATAATGTCGTTGTCTCATGAAAAATAACAAGGAAAAAACTAACGACCTCTGTCACGAATCAAGGCGTACTGACCAAGCCCGTATCATCAACAAGCAAATCCCCCTCAGCCTCAAAACGAATCAAAATAAAAGCCTCAAAACGAACCCAAACAAAAGCGCCTGCAACGAAACCATTCGGCACCTCATGACCAAAAATAAAACAAAAAATACAAAGACCAAAACCCCTTTATTGACCGCGTAACCACGCGCTCTTCCTCACCGCATCGGACTTCGAAATGGCAGCCCAAATACCCGTACTTGAGGGGCAGTTCGGAGAGTCTCCCTCCCGGCGCAAGACTCATAAACGTGTGTGTGTGTGTGTGTGTGTGTGTGTGTGTGTGTGTGTGTGTGTGTGTGTGTGTGTGTGTGTGTGTGTGTGTGTGTGTGTGTGTTGTGTGTGTGTGTGTGTGTGTGGTGTGTGTGTGCGTGTGTGTGTGTGTGTGTGTTTACGAGAACGAGGTCCCGTCGGAGCGTAAAAATATCCTTTCAACGGATCCACAGCGGTTGCCTCTCGAGCGTGCGCGACGACCTTCCTTGAATTAATCTTGAGAAGCAACTGCAAGGTGCGTCACGTGAGGGAATTTGGCAGGGCAGCCCCTCGGTGACGGAGCTGTCAGCGTGCGGTGTCTCCCTCTGCTCGCTGGCTCGCTCTCCTTCTCTCTCTTTTTTCTCTCTTCTTTTTCCTTCTCGTTCTCACTCTGTTTTTTTCTTTTCTGTCTTTTCTTTCTCCTTCTGCCTGCCTCTTGCCTGCCTCTGCCTGCCTTGCCTTGCCTGCCTGTCTGTCTGTCTGCCTGTCTACCTGACTGCCAACCCTTTTCTCCCTCCTCTCACCCTCTTTCTCCCCATTTATGCCTTACTTTCCCCTGATCCCTTTTTTCTCATTCTCTTTCTCTTTCCCCCTCTTTCCCTTCCTCTATCCCGTTCTCTTCTCCCGCTCTCCCCCTCTAGCTCCCTCCCTCCCTCTCCCTCTCTCTCTCTCTCTCTCTCTCTCTCTCTCTTCTTTCCAAACCTCTCACCCTTTCCTTAATCCAAACTTTAAATACATAAAAGGCACAAAACGATAAAGAAAGAAACAGCCAAATAAACAATAGTCCCTCAGTCCCTACCCCTTACCCCCTAAAACCCTACCCCCCCTCACCCTACCCCTACGACCCGTCCCCCTACCCTACCCTCCCTTACCACCCTCCCCCTACCCCTACCCTCCCCCTCCCCTCCTACCCTACGCTCCCCCTCTACCCGCCCTCCCCTCCCCCCTACCCCTCACCCCCCCCTACGACCCCCCCCCCTACCCCTCCCTTTACCCCCCCTCCCCCTCCCCTCCCTTTCCCTCGCCGCACCCTCCAAGGGGAAGGGCCGGGCCAAGCGACGCGCCACGCCCTTGGCACAAACAAGTCCCTCACGAAGAGTGAAAGGGGATTTCATTAGTAAAAAAAAAAGGGGGGAGAAAAAAGATGAAAGAAAAGGAAGAAGGAGAAAAAAGGAAGGAGGGGGGGGAGAAGAAATAGAAGAAAAAATAAATAAATGAACTGAGATGAAAAAGGAAAAATGAAGAGAAGAAACAAAGGATAAAAATAAGAAAATCAAAAGAAAAAGAAATGGAAAAAAAGAGAAAGAAAGGAAAGAAAAGAAAAAACAGAAAGAAGGAAAAAAGGGTGTGTCCAGCGACTAGAAAACCGTAGATAATAAGAACGAAAACAAAATACGAATTCCCCAAATAAAGAGATACAAAAAGCGCGGGAAACGGACAGGGAAGACGAAAAGTGGAGGAAGATGATAATGATAAAAGAACAAATAAAAAAATCTTCGGAAAACTGAGAACAGACAAACAAAATGCGATGTAAACGAAGAGGCAAACGAACAAATAAGAAAGGTGGAAGGAGAAGAAAAGAGAATTATAAAACGAAAAAAAACAACAGCAACACAAAACACGAAAAAGAAAACAAACACAAACCACGGAAGTACCACACGCAAATAAACAAACAAAAATAACCAAAAAATCAATAAAACAACGACAAAAGCCAATAGCAACGGAAAAGCAAACGGACGAGAATCGCACACCAGAGGAAGGAAGTGGCGAAAGAACCGCGAGAAAAAAAAAAAAAAAAAAAAAATCGCGTGCGGACGGCGGTGCGGCTGGAGAGAAGAGAGGAAAGTCGCACGCAACACGTGTCCGTAACTCTCTCCCTCTACCTCCCTCTCTTCATCTCTCTCTCTCTATCTGGCCCTCTTCTTCTTTCTTTACCCTTCTCTCTCTCTAGCTCTTTCTATTTCTCTCTCTCTCTCTCTAGCTCTTTCTATTTCTCTCTCTCTCTCTAGCTCTCTCTGCCACTCCCTCTAACTCTCCTATCCTCTACCTCCTACCTCTTCCTCTCTCTCTACCCCTCCCCCTTTTCTCTCTATGTCCCTCCCTCTCTACCTCCATCTCTTCCTCTCACACTATCTCTCTCTTCTCCTCCCTCTACCTCCCTCTCTTCTTCTAAATTCAAGAGTAAATCCCATGGAAAATAAACTTTCGCGTGCAGGCGAAGATACAAAGAGGATACGAGAAGACTCGCTCGTAACACGTGTTTCTCTCACTCTCACTCTCTCTCTCTCTCTCTCTCTCTCTCTCTCTCTCTCTGTGTGTGTGTGTGTGTGTGTGTGTGTCTCTGTGTCCGTGTCTTTGCCTCTCTCTCTCTCTGTCTCTCTCTCTCTCTCTCTCTCTCTCTCTCTCTCTCTCTCTCTCTCTCTGTGTGTGTGTGTGTGTGTGTGTGTGTGTCTCTCTCTGTCTCTTTATGTATCTTTCTCTCTCTCTCTCTCTCTCTCTCTCTCTCTCTACGTCTGTCTTTCTCTCTGTCCCTCTCGCCGCCGCCGCCCCGCACACCTGCTGATGTTGCAACAGCTGTCCCCAACACGTGCTGAGTCCATGGAGGTCGAGGGCCACTGACTCAACAAAGAGACAAGGGGATATGACCCTTAGCGACACCGGAATAAGGCAAAAAAAATTATCATGATATATTTAGCTGAGATACTATTCGTAATTGGTGTTGGTGATTAAAAGCGAGCCGAGCATAACCTCCAAACATCATATCTTTGTATATCTGCTTTGTATATCTCAGCTGAGTCATCAATCGAAGCGGAATAAACGATAATTGCATTAATAACAACCTCTACGATCATAGTATACCGATCTCCAATCTAAACCTTATTAAAAACAAAAACAAAAAAAATCAGACATCTTTAGAAACCCACGGAAGGCCACATAATTCACGCAAAACAGCTGAGACCCACGAAAGGCCACGGAATTCTAAAGGCCACGGAATTCACGCAAAACACTGAGCGAAAGGCCACGGAATTCACGCAAAACAGCTGAGACCCACGAAAGGCCACGGAATTCACGCAAAACAGCTGAGAACCCACGAAAGGCCACGGAATTCACGCAAAACAGCTGAGACCCACGAAAGGCCACGGAATTCACGCAAAACAGCTGAGAATTCACGCAAAACAGCTGAGGAAAGGCCACGGAATTCACGCAAAACAGCTGAGACCCACGAAAGGCCACGGAATTCACGCAAACAGCTGAGACCCACGAAAGGCCACGGAATTCACGCAAACAGCTGAACCCACGAAAGGCCACGGAATTCACGCAAAACAGCTGAGACCCACGAAAGGCACGGAATTCACGCAAAACAGCTGAGACCACGAAAGGCCACGGAATTCACGCAAAACAGCTGAGACCCACGAAAGGCCACGGAATTCACGCAAAACAGCTGAGACCCACGAAAGGCCACGGAATTCACGCAAAACAGCTGAGACCACGAAAGGCCACGATTCACGCAAACAGCTGGACCCACGAAAGGCCACGGAATTCACGCAAACAGCTGAGACCCACGAAAGGCCACGGAATTCACGCAAAACAGCTGAGACCCACGAAAGGCCACGGAATTCACGCAAAACAGCTGAGACCCACGAAAGGCCACGGAATTCACGCAAAAACAGCTGAGACCCACGAAAGGCCACGGAATTCACGCAAAACAGCTGAGACCCACGAAAGGCCACGGAATTCACGCAAAACAGCTGAGACCCCACGAAAGGCCACGGAATTCACGCAAAAACAGCTGAGACCCACGAAAGGCCACGAATTCACGCAAAACAGCTGAGCCCACGAAAGGCCACGGAATTCACGCAAACAGCTGAGACCCACCACAGAATTCACGCAACAGCTGAGACCCACGAAAAGGCCACGGAATTCACGCAAAACAGCTGAAAGGCCACGGAATTCACGCAAAACACTGAGACCCACGAAACACGGAATTCACGCAAAACAGCTGAGACCCACGAAAGGCCACGGAATTCACGCAAAACAGCTGAGACCCACGAAAGGCCACGGAATTCCACGCAAACAGCTGAATTCACGCAAAACAGCTGAAACCCACGAAAGGCCACAGAATTCAGACAAAACAGCTGAGACCCACGAAAGGCCACAGAATTCAGGCAAAACAGCTGAAACCCTTCCCACAACACTGAAGACAAAAGAACAAACAAGAACAAGATATCGAATGAACAATGAATGAAGAATGAATGAACAAGGCCAAAAGGTATCGAACTCTCCTCTCTATGCAAATAATTTTTCACGAAGCTTTTTTTTTTAAGTCTTATATCTACCAACTGCCGCCACAGCTGGTGTAATTTTAGGCAGACGGAGGGGTGAAATATGACTTTGTGTGCGCTTCTTAAAAATTACTTAACATACATGAATGATAATGGAATAATGGCAACGGACGAATGAGTGTGTTAACATGAAAAAAAAGAAAAAAAAAGAAAAAAATGCATTCATTATATCGAACAGTGTTGACGGTGGCAATGATAAGTAACAATAATAGAACAATAGTATTAATAGAAAATAAATTAGTGAAATATATATCACGTCGAACAAAGTGTTGAAGATGGCAGCGCTAAGTAATAATAATAAAACAATAGTATTAATAAAACTAATAATTAATAAAAAATAGTGAAATATTGACTTTGTTAAGATATTCAGTCATCCACTGCCAATAATCCCGACCTCGCTATAGTGACCATTCCTATACTTTCCCCGCTAAAATATACTTCGTTATACCTATTTTTTAAACTCCGTCAGTAACTTTTCGCGAAATTTAGGCAACAAACCAGTCACCCAAGAAAAAAAAAAGAAAGAACAACAAACAAATGAACCGAAGACAAACACGGGAGGGGAAAAAAGTAAATAAATAAATAAAGAGAAAAAAATAAAGAACAACATATAAATGAACCGAAGACAAACACGAGCGGGGAAAAAAGTAAAAAAGTAAATAAATAAATGAATAAATAAATAAAGTTCACCGACAGGAGAGGCATACACGCGAGGATCACATGGAAGGATATTTTTAAAAGGACGGAGATTTACGGCCAAGGAAGAAGGGAAGGATGGACTTTCGAAGCCATCCTACGACGGGGGGGGAGAGAGGGAGAGAGAGAGAGAAAGAGAGAGAGAGAGAGAGAGAGAGAGAGAGAAGAGAGAGAGAGAGAGAGAGAGAGAGAGAGAGAGAGAGAGAGAGAGAGAGAGAGAGAGAGAGAGAGAGAGAGAGAGAGAGAGAACCCATCCTACGACAAGAGGGGGGAGGGGGGGGGGTAAAAGGCGAGACATCCTATCCTTTTTTTCCTTATAATCCCGAATCGCATCCTGCCGTTAGAGGGAAAAAAATAAGATACAAGAAAGCAGGAAGGATACAGAGGGAGAGAGGGAGAAGGGGGAGGGAGGCGGGAGGGTAAAGAGCGAAGGGGAAGGAGGGAGGTACAGGGAAAGGGGGGAGGAGGGAGGAGGAGAGAGAAAAGGGGAGGAGGGGTGGGTACAGGGGGGGGGGGAGGGAAGGAGAGGGGGGGGGAGAGAAAAGGGAAGGGAAGTGGGGAGAGGAGGGGGAGAGGGTAGGAGGGCCGAGGAAGGAAGGAAGACCGGGAGGTGAAAGCGGAAAGGGCGGATCAGGACCAGTTACACAACAGCCGAACCCCCCCCCCCCGCCCCTGCCTTACCCCCACCCCTCCTCCCCATCCCTGCCCACAACGGGAGGGTCAAGTTTTGGGGGAGGGGAGAGGGGGCGGGCAGAGCGGAAGTGTTATAAACCTGCGGTAAGAGGAGCCGGGGGGGAGAGAGGAGGAGGAGGAGGAGGAGGAGGAGGAGGAGGAGGGAAGAGAGGAGGAGGAGGAGGGAGGAGAGGAGGAGGAGGGAGAGAGGAGGAGGAGGAGGGAAGAGAGGAGGAGGAGGAGGGAAGAGAGGAGGAGGAGGAGGGAGGAGAGGAGGAGGAGGAGGGAGGAGAGGAGGAGGAGGAGGGGAGGAGGAGAGAGGAGGAGGAGGGGGAGGGAGGGAGAGGAGGAGGAGGGGAGGAAGGGAAGGGAGAATGAGGTGGAGAGAGGAAGAGAAGGAAGGGAGAATGAGGTAGAAGACGAGGAGAAGGAGGAGGTAAGGACGGGAGGAGGAGGAGGAGGAAGGGAGAAGTAGGAAGAAGAGGAAGAAAAGGAAGGGAGAAGGATGAGGAGGAGAGGCGCCGCCGCTGTTCCGTCACCTGTTGCACCGCCCAACGGTTCTTTTTTCTTTCCTCCTCCTCCTCCTTCTCTTCCTAATTTCCCTCTTCCCTTCCTCCTCCTCCCCTCCACCCTCTCCCTCTCTTCCTTTATTCCTTCTTTCTTTTTCTTCTAATTCTATTCTTTTTCTTCCTCTAAAGAAAAAAAAAAAATAACGATAACAAGTATACCCAAAAGATAATGGAAACAACAACGGCAACAAAAAATTGCAAAAAAAAAAAACTCCTCCTCCCCCCCTCCCCCACTCCTCCTCCCCCTCCTCCCCCTTCCCCCTCCACCTCCTCCTCCTCCCCCTTCCCCCTTCCCTCCTCCTCCAATCCCAAACTCCTCCCCCCTTCACCTCCCTCCACCACCTCCTCCTCCTCCAATCCATTTTCCTCCCTCTCCTCCTCCTCCCCCTTCCCCCTTCCACCTCCTCCTCCATCCCATTTCCTCCCCTCCTCTCCTCCTCCCCCCCCTTCCCCCTCCCCCTCCCCTTCCTACCCCCTTCCCCTTCCTCCCCCCCTTCCCCCTCCACCCACCTCCTCCTCCAATCCCATTTTCCTCCCTCCACCTCCTCCTCCTCCCCCTCCCCCCTTCCCCCCCTCCCCCTCAATCCCATTTTCCTCCTCCACCTCCTCTTCCTCCCCCTTCCCCCTTCCCCTTCCCACCTCCCTCCCTCCTCCAATCTCATTTTCCTCCCTCCCCCACCACTAATGGGCGGCCCGAACGACAATGCGGCGCCCAATTATGCAAGCCTGACGCCATTCTCCTTCCCATTGAGCAACAGACGCCCGAGCGGAAGGAAGCGGGCGTCGCAGGGGGGTGGGGGTGGGGTGGGGTGGGGTATGAGGTGGGGTGTGGGGTGGGGTGGGGTGGGGGTGGGGGGGGACAAGCAGGTGCATTATCAAATATCTCTCTCGGTGCCACGAACTCCCCCCTCCCACCCCACCCCCGATCGATGAGGCAGGAGAGGGGGGGGGTTGCCAGGGTCGAGGAAGTGCCACCGCGATGGCAGTTTTTTCGGGGTGGGGTGGGGTGGGGTGGGTGGGGGAGGGAGTGGCTTGTGTTGCATTGCGTTGCAGGAAGAACGGGGATTCCGTGATGATAGTGGGGAGTAGTAGAGGCAGGGATATATATTTTTAATATCAATAATGATGATGATTATAGTAACAATAGTGACTGTGATGATGGTGGTGGTAAGGAGGAGGAGGATGGTGATGGTGGTGGTGATGGTGATTGTGGTGATGGTGGTGGTGGTGATTGTGATGATGGCGATGGTGGTGGTGGTGGCGGCGACGATAACGATTAATAACAACAAACAACATAAACAGTAATAACAAGCAGTAACCTTTTCTAGCCCTCGTTTCTTGCTTTCCCCTCCCTCTCCACCTTCCCCTCTCCCTCTCCCGCCTCCAATCTCATACATATTGTTATTCCTTCCCTCTCCTTCTCTATTTCCCTTTCACTCTCCCTCTCTCTCCCTCTCCCTATCTCTTTCTCTCTTTCTCTTTCTCACTATCTCTCTCCCTCTCTTTCTCGTTCTCTCTCT